GCGATTAAAATAATGAACATAAGGTATGATCGACATACAAGTAAAACATACATAAATGACTTAACAATTAGTAATTTGTTGGGAGAAAATTTATATATACATGAATATACAGTGTATAAAATTTAGCATTATTAAATTACAGTAACATTTATTTTTGTAATTTGTTTAAGTGTTTGTCGCCGTGTCGTTTAAGACAACAATGTATGAATTGTTAGGAGTATAAATTCGAGTTGTTTATATTCAAGTAAAATGAAATATTGAAACTTTATGATATGAACTAAAGATCTGTTGTTGGAATTTATTTAAGTTATGTGACAAGTTTCAAGTTTCATGTTTATTATTATTCATCAAGAAGGTCTTAGACCCATGTGACAAAAACATATGAATGCTAACATGGCGACAAGCTACATGCATCATAAAATACAAGTATCAAATTTATACATAACAATGTGAAATGATGTCTTTAATGTTTAGAATCATATCTTAAACTACAAAATACATTCATTCATCGTCGGATAGCCATGGTTGATTAACATGTAATATAAACGTTAATGGTTCGGCCGTGGGTATCCGACGATGAATCAGATTTTGAATTTTGAATATATTGGTAGCAAAAGCACAATAATAATGTTATGTTTTGTTACTTATTTAATAATTTGTGACCTTATTGATATTGAGCATTCTGGTCTGAGTAAGAAATAAGAAAGACTTTGAAATATAATATTATAAATGAACGTACATATTATAAGTTGTAAAGACTATAGTTAGACAAGTTATATGTCCGAATATATAGAGGCTATTTGTTAAGTTCAGTGTAAGATCGGAATATATTTCACCGAGTGAGCACCAAAAGGTATATTTCACGAGTGGCGCAGCCACGAGTGAAATGTGAACTTTTGGTGTTCACGAGGTGAAATATATTTCGATCTTACACTAAACTAAACAAATTTTCTTTTTATTACATGCATTCAAACGTTAAAAACGACATTTTTACCTTATAATAAATGAATAGCGCGCCAAATAATTATGTATACAATGTGACGTCATTTACGACGTCACGTTATTAAGTTGGTTTCCAGTTCTGTGTACGCTGGAATTTCACTAAAACAACGTAAAGGGCTTAAATTCAAAACAGTGAAATTATCAAATTGATAATTTCACTGTTTCAAACAGTGAAATTATCAGTTTTAATTCACTGATATATTTCTATAAACCACCGAAAAGCATGTAATAAAAACGGTTGTTTGTATATATAATCCGAGCTGCTAGGCGAGGGTTATATTGCAAATAACCCGTTTATATTATATGTTATTTTGGTTTTGGACTGATATATGTGGATATATTACCTGTTAAGATTTTATATCACCCGAGCCGTTAGGCGAGGGTGATATTTTATCTTGGCAGGTAATATATCCACATATATCACTCCAAAACCAAAATAATAATTTTATTACCCTTCCCCTGCCGAGTTTAGACGATTTTTTATAAAATCATTGCTGTATCAAATGAAACGTCGAAATAAGATTCCCTTTAGGGTACCTCTTCGTCACAACATGACGTCACATAAATACATGACGTATTTTTCCCGTACCTACCGAATGTAAACAAGAGAAAAGGAGTAGTCTATTGAACGCACTTTTTTGTAATTAATATCAAGCTTTCACAAGGTCATATTTGTTTTCGATACTGATGGTAATATGTATCATTACTCTACTTTGGTAAATATTTATCATTTGACAGTTAAAAAGTGCTTTTAAATCGGAATTTATACATCGTACAATCGAACCGTACGCGCATCATCTCAGCGCATGTTGTGTACAACGTTGGGCACCCAACGGGGAAATTTAGTGTGTATATTACCCGTCTGGCTCGGTTATATCAATTTCTTTCGGGTGATCAATATCCAATCAAAAAGGCGGAAAAAATCTGGAAGGGTAATAAACGGCCATATAACCTGTTTGCAATCTTTATAACGAATATATGATACTGCAATCTTTCCTGAATAGAGAAAAAAAATGAATTTAATTTGCAAGTCGACTGCACCCATGTATATGGAATAAAAAAAACGTCACGATAATCCAAAGAAAAATAACGTTACAAATGTTCAGTATTATAAAAGCGAAATAAGAAAATAACATTATTATATGAACAAAATACCCATTGATGAAAATTGTTGAAGTTTTTGTTCTTTATTGCAATTTAGGATGGATTTAGATAAAATACAGCTAAGAATATATATTTGATATATTACAAAAATCAGATTGTAATAGTATCAAATGACTATATTATACAATCTTATGATTTCTTTATATATTTGCTTCTTTGGCGTTATTTGATTTCAATTGTTATTTCAATTGTTATCAATTGAAATCCATTTTTAATAGATAGCATAAACAATTTAGGTGAAACATCTTATTTTAGCCCGACTGTGAAAAAATGTTCTTATATTCGAGTCCGCTTTTTTGAAATCACCAGTCCAGTACTGGTGCCATGAGGAACATGGTCTTGAGTTAAGTATGGCTCGGACCCACGATCCCTTGGTTGATAGAATGACACTTAACCACTTGGAAGTCGCTCCTCTTAGTATTAAGTACATGTATTCCATATCCAATAAGACAAGATTGTAATACTCGTACAAATGTATGAACAAATTAATCATTACTGGAAATTTGTGTAGATCGTTTTATCACACACCCGTGCCGATTTTGCGACTCCGTAAATATGGTATTGCACGGCCGTGCATATATTTTGACGTGACGTCATTAGCGTTATACAAACATAGCGTAAAGACGCGCTAAATGTTAGCGTTATACTATAGGCGCGTCAATGAAAAATGACTCTTATTTCACTTTAAACGGTCTTTATTTTGGGTATGTGATAAATAGAATATTAAATTCGTGTAAGTTCATTACTGAATTTATTGCACTCGTTGAATAAAATAATATTATGCTCGCCAGAGGCTCGCATAATATAACTTTATTCAACTCGTGCAATAAATTCAGTATTGAACTTACACTCATTCAATATCCTCTATTTCTTTTCATTCATGTCATTATTGCATTAATAAAATAAAGTTAAAATATGTAGACATGCCATGAATAATTTATGAATAAATAAGAAGTATAAATTAGCATATCATAAATAAAATGTTATTCTATGCACAAACTCATTTCATTTGGAAAAAAATAGATAATGATTATTAAACCAAATACAATTCATAAATAAAATAATTGTATATCGTATAAAGGAGAGAATATCAATAACAGATTTAATTAAAAACAAAAATGTTCTTAAATAAATAAACAGGTCATATTCATGCCTATATACTATTAAATAAATAAAAAATATATATATATAATAATTGAAAGAAGAATGTAATAATATTACATAAACAGACAATGTATTGTGGTGACTTGTTTAATACATATTTGATCTCCCTTTGAAGTGTGATTACTATTGTTTAAGACTGTAAGCTCTGATAAGACTGATAAAATGAAATATTTCTTAAGATAAGAAGTAATTGTTCTCAAAAGACACTAGTTTCACTCTTCAAATTTTCACGGAGTTTGATGTAGTATTATCCTTCTTTTTTTTTTTTAAATATATATTGCTAAACTATATTTGTATTGAAAATTTGGTGCATTTTATTGACGGACAAGACTATGTTTGTTTGTTTGTTTTTTGGTGTTTTTTTTTTTTTCTTTTTTTGTTTTTTGTTGTTTTTTTTTTTTTTGTTTTTTTGGGGGGGGGTCTGGGGGAGGGGTGTTGTTTTTGTTATTGTTTTTGTTTTCTTCTTTATACCATTTTGAGACTTGAATGTACTATTAATGTATCTGTGATTTGTCAAACAAAATACTTAAAAAATAATTAATGTATCATTTCCATTGACTTAATATACGAAATAGAAAAATAGAGAATTAGGTTTGCATCTTTTTTAATGTTAGGACGGTTTTTTTTTGTTAACAAATATGATATATATGTACAGTGTTATCATGTTTTTTAATTAAAGATTGAATTGTTCTCAGTTTCTCAATTATAAACTTGTCAATATTTAGCAATTACATTCGGTATTCTTATTATTTCGTAACGTCATATTAAAGTAAAATTATATAAGAATTTTACAAACATATGTTTGAGAGTTTATAAATAATATTACTATTGAATTAAATTTCAAATATTTTATCGAAATAATAATAATTTAATAATAAATGATAGAAAAAAATATAGTATTATAATAGAAAAAGATTGATTTTCGAAACAGTAACAAATGTTAATTTCATTCGATTCAAGATCTCAAAATCAAAACTGAACCCTTAAAGAAGTAAAATTAAATTGACTTCTTATAGACCTTGTAGAAGCGACCCATCCTTTAACACACTTCAAATAGGGTCAACGGAGGTAGGTCAATGGCAAACAAGCTGTTTTGGAAGGACTGTTCCCTATTTCTTAAGTGTTTAAAATGGAGTTGCGATCCCTTTTTTGTTTATTCTCTCAGTATGTCATTAATCCGACCACCAGCTGTAAGCGTAAACTTGTACTGGTACCCGATCAAAACCAAACAGTAGCCGCGACTGGAAGCGCTCACTTTAAGAAACCGAATTTTTCAACCGCAAAGGGGGGAATATACATTTGAACAACTACTTCACAGATAATTTCATAATAAATATCTCTTTCACATTGTTATCTAGTTGTTGTAAGACAAAACAAACGGATTTTGAAGATAATTAGTCAGGTATTTTTCACAGGATTTTTCATGTTTAAGACCAGATGGATGATGTTATGACTAAGTCATGATAAGGCTGAATCTAATCTTCTCGGAGCCTGGGACCGCTTCTGATTAAAGTGTAATTCCTAATGCAAGATGTATATATAAGGTGTTTTAAACATATATTCGTTTTCATTGTTCTGTGGTTTTCAAGGATTGCAAATCAAGATGCTTTTCACGTATAAATCTATTTGTGACTTTGAAGCAGAAACAGCCTTATTTTCTTCTTTTGTAGAATCTACGTCACGGGAACCGCAGTATTTCTACTATGACGGTAAATAGACATATTGCTTTTTTTCTCTCCCACAAATCTTGTTTATTTATTTATTTATTTATTGTTGAATTTGTCCTCTTTTTTTATAAATCTTTTGAAAATATTGACATTGACATTTCTTTCACAATTCCTATTTAATTTTTTTGTTGAATTTGTACTTTTTGTTTAGAAAATAGCGACAAATTATTTTTACTTTTGATTTTTTATTTGGCTTTTCATGAATGATATTCAAATGAAAAAAGAAGATATGTTTAATGGTGCACGCTTTTGCACGGTAATTACTATTTATGGTGTACACAAAATTCAAATATTTTTATGCAAATTTCATTTTTTTATTAATTTATTATTATTATTATTATTATTATTATTATTATTATTATTATTATTATTATTATTATTATTATTATTTGCAATCTCCTATAATAATTCTGTAATATTTGATAGTGAACTTTTAAGCAAAAAAATCGAAAGATTATACGGCATAGTTTTTTTTGATATTATATTCAAAGGATATTACTAGTATTTACTTTTGAATTTTTTCATTGTATCTGTAATGCTTGTGTTGTACTCATAATTGCAGTGTCATCATTATAATTTTCTAAAGAAATCCTTTAAAATATATCAATAACTAATTTAGCGTGGTTTTTCTGAGTTATATTCAGATGAAAAATATCTGTTTGTTCAATTCTGCATGGCGTTGTAGTAGTATTTTTTATGTTTTCTTCACAATTTCAATACTTAAAAAATTATTTAGTTTTGCAATTTGCATTTTGTAATGATTAAAAGAAATCTTTCAAGATATATATATAACAAAATTTGTATGAATAATTTTATTTATATTGTGATGAACCAAATCGATTTTATAAAGTGTTTGTTATAACCATAATTTTTCGTCGTAATTTCATTTTGGTTTATTTTAGCAATCTTCTATAATAATTATATATTATTCTGTATTAAAATACATATGGATTTGACGAAAAAATAGTTCAAGTCATCACACTGTTTTTTAAATTACACTTCGAATAAATAAACTGTTTTAATGAATAGAAATACATAAAAGGTCCACTGACCATGAATTTGAAGGACAAAGCAATGCAATTTTCTGTAGAATTTTATAACGATTTTTCATGACAGAAAACATTTTTAAAGTTATGGCATCTTGCATAATAATAACACAGTTTTAAAGAAAAAAATATTTCTGCATATATTAGATGGAGATCCGATCAATTTACAAGCAATCAGTGGCCCTGGTATACAGACAATCAGTGCCCCTTGCTCACCGAACCAGGGTATAAGCCAGTACTGTGCAATATGTCGGGATAGAGCTACTGGCAAGCATTACGGCGCAGCCAGCTGTGACGGTAGTAAGGGCTTCTTCAGGTTCGTTTACATAATTTTCTATGTTTATCTTATTGTCACTTTTCACAAAGTTTCATTTCTTTTGGTCTGTTTCCACCATTTATTTTTTAAGATATAAAAATGTATGCTGTGGAAGTTCTCTTGGAAATCCAAAGACGGTCTGTAAAACATTTACCTTTTAGGCTGAGATACTGAAATAGAATATTTTTATTCTTAAATACATGAATAGCCAAAATCTATGTATGTAAAAGTAACAAACAATTACTATTTCGATGTTAGTACAAGAAAAGCATGTTGTTAATTATTATTATTTTATCTGGCACATACTATAACGGGACTGGCAACTAAAGATTAGCACCGCATTATCATTTCGTCCAATCAGTTGCATTCGCCGTTGATCGTAGTAAGATGGGTATTTTTGTCCGTTGTAAACCGTGTCAGTGAGACAAATATAAGCTAACTGGCGTAAGATTTTTACCGGTCCTTAAATACGAAAATGGGCTTAATGTGATTTTATTTTAAAAAAAAGATCATTTATGTATTTCTTTTTTCAGAATAACAACATAAATATATTAATTAAACACTATCGATCGATACGCAAACATAAGATCGCTTGTCTTGTAGGTAGCTGCTTGTCCCGTTACATTATGTCCCAGCTTTCATGGCTCTTTAATCAGAGTAAAAAAGCTTACGAAACATTGCTTACTGTAACTTTAAATATATTTTATCTTGTGTCTTTAAAAACATTATATTTGTTACCAAAAGTAGATTTGGATATGCTTTTAATCTTGCAGACGTAGCGTTAGAAAGAACCACGTGTACTCGTGCCGTTTCAACAGAAATTGTATAGTAGACAAAGACAAACGAAATCAATGCAGATATTGTCGGCTGAAAAAATGTTTCCGTGCTGGTATGAAAAAAGAAGGTAAATTTTTATTTCCTACGAGTATTTGGACACTTGCTGTTCATGATATACATTAAATAAGCTATTTTGAGGCATTTATTCAAGTCTGATATATTATTTTAACGTGTAACATTCTTGTATACGATGCTGTAACAATACCTCTCAATAAATGCATTATAAACACTGATTTTTCCCCTTTTTTTGAAATAGGTGAAAAATACATTTTTTTTAATTTTCATGAAAGTTTGTTAGCATCATATCACTATATTTTAATAAACCTGTTCAAAACAAGAAGGCAGTGTAGTTTAATTTACTATATTAGACTCGCTACTGGAACGCTAATATTTATGACAAAACTAAATTGAAGTATAAAATTCTTATTTCGATATCGTCTTTTTTCTTATTTATTAGTTAAAAACTGTTGGCCATTTTATGCTTACGATTACTTCGTTTTACCTAGAATAAAAGTTCAGTTTTGTGCAACCAGTGTTAATTCATTCGGTTTCATTCTATCATTATTCTATTTTATACTGTACATATCTTCTCAACTGTATTCTGTTCCTGTTCTATTCTATTCTATTCTATTATTTAGCTACATCTGTGCATCTGTATAATCACGAAAATTAATTTGGAATCTTCTTACTATTCTTTCAGCTGTTCAGAATGAGCGGGATAGAATAAGTGTTCGTCGCACCAGCTATGATGAATTGGGACAGAACAGTGCACTGTCCGTCAGTACGTTACTGAATGCTGAAATACTCTCACGACAAGTATGTATAATCAGATAAATCAATCTCTTCTTTTTTTTTCTTTTTTTTTTGAAGTCCCATTTTAAAAAGGAAGACCTCAATCAAATACACAGATTTACTTACTTCTACGATATTTAAATTAGATTACAAAATACTTGTAGATAGCTTTACACTTCAATTTTATGCACAGTAAAGTAATGAAGTAACAGATTAGTACACTGCGAAGAATTTTGGATTAACAAATTTCGGGTTTTTAAGTTATAGTCCTGAGTGGGACTCTTTTTACCGTCCGTGACTATTTGAAATGACAAAAAAAGTTTAATACTAATGCATTATGTAGAGAGGTTGTCAGTTATTTGTGTAAAACATGTAAGAACTTTGACAGTAAAAGCCTGACCTTACCTTGCTCAGCCCCTGATCTGTTACCCAAAAAGAAAACGTGGTTGATTCATTTTATGTAGATTTTTAAATAATCCTATGAATATAAAGAAATTCAATCAAGACTAAATAAAATAAAGATAGCTATTATTTAAACCTGTCTTAGGCCCACCAAAATTTATAAAAAGCTAGAAAACAAGAAAAAATATTAAAATATCTGATAATCATAAATATTAAATCAGTATTTGGTTGATGGGCATAATACATATTTCTAAAAATCATGGTTTTTATAATGAACAACAATTTTCTAAAAGCGGCAGTTATCCAGAGAACTACAAATCAAACTTAAGAAAAAAAAGTTTTATATTTAGAATAGTATTGAAAAAATACTGTAATTTATCATATTTTAACTCAGTAAGTTCCTTAAGTTGTTTAAGAAAATTCTTCATAGTTTTACAAATCAGAGCAGAATGTGCCTCAATGTTATATCACTTATTTTTATACATTTTGGGAAAGATATTATCATTTAAAAGTTTTAAAATTATTATTTAACACAAATTTAGAATCATGAAGCTTTTTCGTCTTAAGATGACTTGAAACGAGAAAAAGCCGGCCCGGTTAACTGACGGAAAGATTACTCATGTGAAATTTATCAATTTATCAAATAAAATAGAACAGTTCGTGCTCCCACACAACCGACCGAATTATTTAGTTTAAAGTGATAAATAAAAACGTGAAACTATTGGAAAAAAACACAAATATATCTGGAACATAAATTACGCTGTTTTTCTTCCGTGTTGAATTTTTAATCCATAAGCATTCCCGTGATCGCCATTGTTAGTAAAAATTGCTTACATTACATATATAAGAGGAGGTCAGTATTTAGAATAGATGATGTGCTAGCCGGTTTCCTAGAAGCTTTTAACTTAGAAGTGACTCATTCCAACAAAATTTCGCACGTAGGCAGTTTGTTTAAGATGATAGTCACTATTGTGAATCAATTTAAACGCACAAATTCGTGATTAAATAACTTCTGTGATCATTTTCCTTCCTTTTTTTTCTCATAGATATTTTATCACAATCTATTGATCATTATCGTCATAAAATGTTTTCTTTAATAATACATGTATAAATTAAAACGTAGATTGCTATGTATAAATATTTAAGATTTGCATAAAAAGGCGGTCCCTATCGAATACATCTGGAAAAAAACAGTTTCTTCTTTTATTTCGGACAATGTAAGAAAATAAAAATTAAATTATGGGAAATATTCAATATATAATGTACCACTTCATCCTTATGTAATTTCGACGATATTTCCTGACTTTTCATTCGTAGAATTTAAAAAAAAACAACAATAGGATAAGATGTAATAAATGCAATGATGGCCGTGTTTCACTGTATTTTACTGCAAAAGTATCACCGAGTGACAACTCATGTTACGTTTAGCAGTGAAATCATTACAATTTTCTGCTTTATTTTAATTTTCGTTGAGGCCATGCATCTTTATTTCATTTTCGTTTTGAGGCCACGCATTTTTATTTATTTACGTTTCGAGGCCACGCATCTTTATTTCATTTACGTTTTGAGACCGTGCATCTTATTTCATTTACGTTTTGAGGCCACGTAAAAGAAATAAATTAGTTCTTCATAAATTAATTAGATCCTTTCTCGAAAAAAAAAATATTTAAAAGGTTCGTTCTCTTTTCTATTTTTAGACAGCTTCACCATCAGTGTGTAACGGTGATGACCTTTCACATAAGAGAATAGCGACGGCCAATGATATTTGTGATTCTATGAAACAGCAACTTCTCATACTGGTCGAATGGGCGAAATATATCCCCTGTTTCTGTGATCTTCCGCTTGATGATCAGGTACGTGGGTGTGTTTGATTGTTTTTAAAAGTTAATAATTATTATAGGTGTGATTTCTGTTGAAAATTTGCTTAAAATGATAAATGGTTTCGTCGAGACTGAAAGTTGGTCGAGTTCATTCAAGAATTTTCGCGTCGTACGGGTTAAAAGTTGAATATTTCTCACATATATATAATAATGACTTTTTGCGCCCACTTGTTACACAAGTCAGTTCTATTTTCGTCAACAGAACATTTTCATTTGAACTCGACATTCTTTTCTTAAGTATTATCACCTTTTTCCCGGTCCTCGTAATTCAATTAAGCTCGACGCTACCTTAACGATATTTTGACTTTGCTAAATTATACTTTCATGATTTTATATCTTGAGTTTTGCTGGGATCTTGACTTTCTGATAATGCTGTAACCTTTATGAAGTCATTCTGTCTATGAAATAGTCGACGTCATTGTTGGTTCGTTGTATAAGCGTACACTTAGATATTTTTGTCATCAGGTATATTGTGAATTTGTATATTTTTAAAAATCATTTTTGTTGTCCTTTAGGTGGCGCTTCTGAGAGCACATGCCGGAGAACATCTTTTACTCGGGGTAGCAAGACGCTCAATTGTTCATAAAGACACATTGTTGCTCGGAAATGACGTCATAATACCCAGAAATACATCGGATATGGAAATAGGTCGCGTGGCGTCGAGAGTACTTGATGAGCTGGTCAAACCTCTTCGTGATGTACAAATAGATGATTCTGAATTTTCTTGCTTGAAAGCATTAGTCTTTTTTGATCCAGGTAGATCTATTGGTTTATTTCTTTTCTTTTATCCATTAACCTATTAAATATAAGAAACGAATTTGCCCTGTTTTGACTTTAGTCTTTAGAGCAGTCTGTTTAAAGTTTAAAGATTTTTGATTTTCAAATTACAACTACATGTAGATTCATCCTCATTAACCCAAGCTTTTTCCCGTATACCAGTATTAAATGTAGTATATATACGGAATGCGTACCGTTGGTACTAGATTGAGCTACCGACAGAATAACACTCGGTCTGGCTCCAAGTATGTGTTGACTGGTTTGTCTTACAAGTTTATGACTGATCACTTCCGGTTCCGGTTCCACTAAGTTAATTGTCAAATTAAAAATGTCATCAAGAGATCGGAGTAGACTACATGTAACTCACATTTGACCTTTGTCATTATTTTAAAAAAAACCAATATTCGAATACAGCCTTAAAACTCATATGATTACATAAAATGGCGCCTGGATCGAGTTCATTTTATCTTAAACATCCAAACAAAATCTTGTTTCGTTAATACACAAAATGTCTATATATGTTTCAGATGCAAAAGGTTTAAGTGATTCGGCTAAGATCAAAGCATTCCGATATCAAATCCACGTAAATTTAGAAGACTATATCAATGATAGACAATACGACTCTAGAGGGCGCTTCGGAGAGATACTTCTGCTTCTGCCATCTTTACAAAGTATCACATGGCAGATGATTGAACAAATTCAGTTTGCAAAACTGTTTGGAATGGCTAAAATTGACAACTTGTTACAAGAAATGCTATTGGGAGGTAAAACCGTTATGTCATTATTATTACTTTAAAAATATGACTGTATATTTGTATGCGTTATTCATTTGCTTTTTGTTATGCAAAGATACGTTAGGTCTTTGAACAATATGCGGGCTGCTAGCATTTTAATTTTCATTACCAATGGAAGCGCCCAAACAGTTTGTATACTCTTAAAAATATAACATAAACTGGTACCGTTTTTGTTTGTATTACATTATATTTGAATTAAAAAGAATAGAATCTAGACTTTTAAATTTAGTTTCTCAGTCTACAAAGCCTTTGATGACGTCACACAACTTGAATTTTATAACCGGAAGTGTGGGCATATTTTGAGAAATAATTTGAAATTTTACTTTGATTTCAGGAGCAAACGGAGATCTTGGTCAGGTGCAGACGACAAATTCAGGTATGGACAGCGCCTCTGCAACGCCCTTGTCAATGTCTCCCAACATGATCATGAACACTATTAACTACACCGATCTTCCTGGATCAGACGACAACGACACTATCGGCATGGCGACAGGACTGGAACCAGGTGTTATGTGTCTTGGTTCCCAATCACCGCCAACAGGTGTGCTAAATGCCGTGCCTTATATTCCGGGTTTTCAACTCGATAATTCACCACAATCAACTGTATCCCCAGCGGATCCGAATTTGAATATGGGGCCCCTAGGAAGTCCCTTGAACGGGAATGTGATAGCCACTAGCTGTAACGGATCTCCTTTGCCAGCTGGCGAGCCATTTAACTTGTCAACGGCTGGTAAATGCTTAAAACAGGAAGTCGTTTAAATATTCATAGAATTGACTTATGGATATTCATTATACTGCTGTGGACGTGCCAGATATGGTTTAGTAATATGTAAAGAAAGCCCATTTGTAAAATTTCATAAGCTGTGTAGATTTGTGAAAAGATATTTGTATAAAACATATTTCATAAGCATTGTATTTAACTAAACCTTCAGATCGTTTCACTTCTGTAAAGAGCAGTGGTAGTGATGTTTTACATCTATATATAGACCCAATATACATGTGTATTTAAACTTCTATTACATATGATGGTTTAAATCCTCTTAATCAGTATCACAAATAATTGATCATTCTATCATAATTTTGAATTTAGTATAAATAGTGGAGATTTGAAAATACATGAGTGCATATCATATTTTACTAAAGTGTAATTTGTTTTATTCTTGTATCACAAAGTCGAGTCATGTATCACATTTTATGGAGGAATATAACGATTTTCATATGATCTTTACGATACACATTGGAGCATTACGATACACATAGGAGCATTGCGATACAAATAGGAGCATTGCGATACACAAAGGAGCTTTGCGATACACATAGGAGCATTGCGATACACAAAGGAGCATTGCGATACACAGAGGAACACTAGGATACACATAGACATATTACGATGCACACAGGAACATAACGATAAACAGGAACATTACAATATATATTGATACATACAGATACATATAGAAACATTACGATACACAAACACATTATGATACATATAGAAACATACGATACACATAGGAACATTGCGATACACACAGGAACATTATATAAACACTAAGATACACATAGCAATATTACGATAGCCTTAAAAACATTTGATACACATAGGAGCATAACGATACATACAGAATTATAACGATACACATATGAGCATTACGATACACATAAAAACATTACATTACACAAATGAACGTTACAATACACATAGACACATTACGATACACATAGAAATAATTTGATACTAAAAGAAATATTACGATATACTCTGGAACATTACGATTCACATAGAAACTTTACGATACTCCTAGTAACATCAAGATACACATATGAATATTATTATATACAAATGGACACTATGAAACACAAAGAAACATTACGATTCACATACAAACATAACGATTCCAATAGAATCATTACGATACACATATGTATACGTATATATTATGATACACATATATACATTACGAAACATATAGGAACATTATGATTCACATAGGTACAAACATATATGCAAAGGGGCATAACTTCACATAATTTGGGTTTAGGTTCTTGATGTTTAATCAACATGCCCGTTCCAAATATAGATTACTGTACTGCCTATAAAATAGTAAATTGTTCACCCTTTTATATACATGTATATTCTGCGTTATTCTTTTGTTTGATTCTTTATCATTAAATTTTCTATTTCTTTTAGCCATCTCAGAAATAATTTTAGCTTATATTCAATACTATTATTAATTTTTGTTTCATTCTATATTCATCATCGTCATCAAATTCATAAAAAAATATTTTACTGATTACTTTAGCATATGTTTTTTATTATCAATGTCATTTCATTTTTTAAAAGACAAATATTTTGTGACATCAATTTAATTAAGTTTAAAGGCTTTATAACAATTGCATATAGCAGCACGAGATTGTCAGGCGCATGCGCCGTCATTTTGTATTATTGTTCGTAACTTTTTATCCGTAGCAAATGCTGTGATGTTTTGTCCACAATGCAACGGAAAATGCAAGCAATTTGATAGGTATTACTCATTTGTCGTTCGACTTGAATTTAGTTTTCTTTCTGTGTAAAAAGGTTTTTTTCTAAATAACTGCAGAGACAATGTAATTTGCTTGCCTTTTGAGTGTGTAATTTTATTGCATAATTTGCAGAAAATTATGCTGTTTCTAATTAATGTTTCAACTGAAATTCATTCTTTATTCCATTTTCGTAGTTCATATTTTCATTATTTTTTTATTGTTATTTTTTATTAAAAATATTGTACTGGGGCAACATTTTAGCATGTAAAATTATTGCCAACGTCCCCATTGGACAGTTTTAAATCTTGAATAAAAAATAGCCAATCATATTGGCTTTAAAACATTATTTTAAACCAGATTTAAAACAAGCGCTTTTATTGGTTAATCTTAAATCAGCCAATCAGAAAATGTTTAAGAATGGTTATGTGTCTCAGTATGTGTAATCCTAGTCAGACTGGACTTAACATTTTCAATATTGTTTTCATGGGTGTGAAGTTGATTTTTAACATAAATTTCACGTCTTTATACATGATCTCAAAATATATATTGAATATAATATTTGTTTAAAATGTTTGTAAACGTATTATTTGCTTGTTTTGAGACGGATATATTTTATATTGCACCATAAGTTTTTGTTGTTTTATATTTTAACATGGTATATTACTTATTGTTCATCAAATGTGTTAATAGCTTCAAAAGAATATATTAAAAGAGAAAATATATCACTCTTTTGTTTTATCGAAAGAAATAAAGTACTTACTACT